CATCTTGATCTTTAATCCCTTCAAATAATGTACTGGAGTTTGTTTTCTTTTCATTTTTTCTTTGTCTCTTCTCATAAAAGCCTTCGAAGTTTTAACAGATCTTTTTTGTAAACCCAATATAAGAAAATTATCCAAGTCACTCTTTTGATTTGCCACTTGTACATGCCTTTCAGTTATTAAGACATCTGCTGGTTTCATCTGTATATCCAATGTAGCATCTTTTTCCATATCATTCTTGCAGCCTGACATTTTCAAAGCCACTTTCAGATCAGTCCCAGTCCCATCCAGTAAAACCTGTTCCTCTTCCACAACATCCCTTAAAAGCCATTTATCTATAATGGCAGACAATTTTAAGATTAACTTCTGGATCCATTGCTCGCAAATATTCTCGAATACATCCAGTGTTAAAGTATTTTGCTCCAGTCTATGTTAACAAGTCAAATTTAAGTGTTCTTCTCCTTTAATTGTTTAATTGTATTTTTTAAATTGTATTTTAAGAGATGATAAGTTGTTAAAATTGTTTATACTTGTTGTGATGAAGGGGGAAGTTACTTCTTTATATATTTCTTTTTCTTTGCTATGTGTTTTTTTCTTTTTCTGCACTTTTTTTCTTTTTATTCTCTTACTGTTTGTAGTTTATATTAGTTTTTATCTGTTTAACTATAATGCTTAATAAAATTATTATTAAGAAAATGACCACTAACTATTCACAAATGCCAGATGAAAGATGTAGGTTTTAGTCAGGGAGCAAAATGTCACTGAAATTAGCACCTGGCACATACCTCTTCTGCTCCAGCCTATCCAAGAAATGTGCCAGGTGCTAATTTCAGTGACATTTTGCCATTCTTTTAGGGCAGGTATGGAAAACATGCAGTCCACAGGCTATATTGTAGCACCCCAAAATCATCCCATCAAGATTCAGTGCAAAATGGTTTATTTTAAATGATATAACATTTTCCTTTTACAGAATTATGGATGAGAATGGAAGCAAAAAGCCTCAACCAAAAGGAAAAAGAGAAAAAAATAAGGATCACATTACTAAAAGATTGTCCATTCCCAATGCAGATGTTAAAAAGTATAGGATATAAAACAGCATCCTTTAGGACCACATGGCACAAATTTCATGAAGAGTTTAGAAGTATTTTGTCACTTCTTGGACAGATCCTGCAAGCAGGATAAAAACAATTTAGTTGTGCCTGAAATGTCCAACTCTGAATCAGTTCACTAAGTGGTCAATATCAAAAGTGGCTTTTGATATTGGGATACATGCTTCCTATTGCTCTTCTGACAATTAAATTCCTATGAGGATAACCATTTCAGCACTAAATTCAAGACTATGGCCTCATGGACATAGATAATCCTTTTCTGCAACATGTTCCAGAGTTGTCCAAATGGAGGCAGCACTTGCCCTAAACCTCTGGGACAGCATCTTTTTTTTAAAGCGTGTATACATCACAACTTTATTCAAGATTATGGGACTTCCTCTCTCCATCAGAGTCATCAATCCATCCAGTCAATCACATCATCCCTAATTACGTACTACCACTTATGAAGCATCTTTTTTGTCTCCCTGACCTAGCACTAATAAAATGCCTTAAATCCAGATCCTGAGTCAAGAGACCTCCTGGTAAAAGAAATGACCCCTCTTCCCACTCCAGCTACTCAGACTGGCATAGCTGTGACAGGTCACTTTTATATAAGCTCCCAACCAAAACCAGTTTGCTTTTCAAAATGATATTTGCAAAGCTTAAGAGCACACAGGAAAAAAATAAATCTCTAAAGCAATTATTTGAATGCTGAAGGAAAGTTAAACACCAAGCACATTTGATCTCACAAAATAACTTGATGGTTGCTGGGTGTACAACAAACACAAACACAATAAGATAATACATGAACGATTGATCTGAACCCGATTCTTCACTGTAAAAGCTCAGAAGAAAGGGATACCACATACATTGCTAGCCTTCCTCCTAAATAAGTATGTAAAGGAGAGTAGTGTACATTGTATTGAACTCAATATTACTTGTGTGTATGTCTCTCTCTATATATATATAAATAACATAATAATAAATCAGATTGCACTGATACTAAAAGGGTTCAAATTCATATTCTGCTAAGAATTATTTGGCGGCCATGTAAATTACCAATCTCATTTATATTGCAGGATTGTCAGGAGGACAGTTCTCTTCTCCTTAATAAGACACGGAACTTAAAAAAAACAAACCACATTTTAGCTTTAGCTTTGTCTATGAACCAAGTCACCGTGGCTTGTAAACCACTGCTTACGGTCTAGTGTGTACTGCGAACCACGTCAGTATGGTTTGCTCTATAAACCGTGGTTGAATAAAGCCCGATGACGTGTGTGACTGAACACAGCGCAAGTCAGCCTTCTCGACCAGCTGCTAGCTGGTAAGGCTGCACTAAGCCCTCAGGATCCTAGTCAGAGAATAAGTAGCCCCGCAGGACCACCACCACCCCGCCCCACACACACGCAGCTGAATTGAACGCCCTGCTCTCCCAGGCAGGAAGGGCTCTCCAAAGGGGCACCAAGCACGTCGGGCACACGTTGAGGGCAGGGAGACCGGATTCGAGCGGGAGCGACGGGCACACCCAACCCTGATAGCAAATACCTTCCAAGGCAGCGCCTCTCAACACCGGGCGGGGAACGACGAGAGACCGCTGTCTCTCCTGACTGGGGCACGCCGTTTCCACGCCTCCTCCCACCCCAGACTAGGAGCGAAAGAACTGCAGAGAGACTCCCCCCTCCCTTCCCAACGGCTGGCAAGTTAAGTATGAATCCCCTCTTACTTCACTTCCAGGCTTCGCGGCCGCCGGAACGCCCTTCCGACGTAGCACAGCGCTGGCGTCATCAACCGGTGCCGAACGCCTGGGAGGGAGTCGTGCCCGGGGAGAGCTGGAGTCCTGCTCCTGGTTTCGTAAGGGCGGGAGCGTCTGCTGTGGTCTGAAACAGTTCTCCAGGCATTATACGTAGGCTAAAGGCTCGCTATCCAAATAGGAAAGGTTAGGGGTATACTCCCGAGAGCAGCCTTAGGAAAAAGCTTTTCTGCTGTCTTCCGTGAGCTTATGGCAGAACTCCCAGGCTGGTCCGCCTGCCTGGCTAGGTTTGGTAACTCCTAGAATTCCCAGCTAGCACGGAAGATCAGGTTGGAGATAGAAAGTTTATGGTGTCATCTTATTGTGGCTCAGTCCGTTGCCCATGAAACCCAATACTGTGAATTCAGTAAAGTCCGAGGCAGCGCATTCTGAGGGTGTAAATGCAGTGCACGTACCTCGGAGCCCGTGGGAACCGGCAACAGCTTGTTGGATTGCCGGGTAGTATTTAGATTACAGTTCTTAGCTTGCAAAGAACGGTGTGAGGATGCTTGAGATAAAATTAGGCATTGTTTGTGCTTGTGGCATGCTGGCCTAAAGATGACAAAAAATGACTGGTAATATTTCCTTACTGTTAGCATATTCTATGTAGCACAGGTACAAATAAAGCCAGTAATCTAGACTACTACTCTGTGCCATGTCATGATCGTTAGTGGGGACCCACTTGGTGGTGATTGTGGCACATGGCAGATTGCAACTTGGAATCTGAGAGGATTAAATGGTACAAAGAATGAATGAGCAAATGAAATGAAAAATAGATACGTTATGTGCTTGGGAAACTAAAAGAAAAGGGAAGGGTGTAATATGGTATGATCTTGTAGACTCAGGTTGATGAATACATGAAGGTATAGGTTTAATTAGAAATGAAGGGGCTAAAATGTATGCCAAATTATGAGTGGATGCCTCCTACACTGTTGTGGATCTGTATATGTTCTTAGGCTGGTAATAGTTGTATGCTTTGTACCAGTGAATATTGATAAGAATGAGATAGGAGTTTTGAGGGAAAAAGTTGTGCAATGTTGTGAATTAATGCCATCCAAGGCAAAACAATTATGAATGGCTGGAAACCAGATGAGAGAATACAGAAAAAGTAATAGAACCATTCGGAGACCTAAATATGAATTTATCATTCATTAATGATTGATTAATACCTGTTTAGATTAATATCTGTTTAGAAAAAGGTTTATTTCATAAATGTGATTTAAGCATAAGTCAATTCATAGAAGCATGGGAAAGCGAATAAAAGGCATGACTGTTTATGATGAAAAATTTAAGATAATTATTGAAGGTTTAGAAGAATGAAGAGAGGATTGCAATGTAAAACTGACCATTTTTTTGAAAGGGCAAAAACTAAATACGGGGGAAAAATTGAAAAAGAGAAGAAACAAAAGTGAAAGAAATGATTGCAGGAAGAGAAAGTATAAATGTTTGTGAAAAACGTAAAGTGAGTACACTTGAAAAAGAGTGGTAAAATTATAAGTATAAAAAGGATGCTTGGTGGAATGATGAAGTGAAAGAGCTGTAGATGAGAAAAATGCATATAATGCTGCAAAATGAAAGTGAGAGAAACGTGTGTGTGTGTGTGTGTGTGTGTATATATATATATAGAGAGAGAGAGAGAAATAGTTATAAAGAACAAAGTACAGTTAAGATTAAAAGAGGCAAATAAATGAGTGATTTTGAGAGAAATAAAAAAAATTGTTTTGGAA